AGTACAATCATATTTAAACACGTGTCAAAAGAATTTCTTAGCAAATTGTCAGAAGTTCTTGTTTTAGAATAGTATCTTACTATTTCTCTTACTTTTTATTTTTTTTATTGTTTAAAACTTTATTTAGAAACTAATGTTGTGGATGTCCATTCTTTCTCGTTTTTTTTTCCAATTTTATTAATTTTTTATTATGAAAGACTCCTAGAAATTTTCAATAGAGATGCTCTTAGCTATACCTTTCCTCTTTCAAGTATTCCAAGTCCATAACTTTGCCTATCTTTGGAAAATGCACATATATACAACAAAAGAGAATGTTTTGTCTCATTTTTATTTGGAACCCTTTAACTTACATAAAGGAATTTGAAATCCTCTTTATCTCACATAAAAGAGAGGTAATTATGTAAACTTTAGCCTATTTTCATAATTGTAAAAATATGACCTATTTTTTTAATTTTAGTTATTTTTGGATTATTTTCGTAATTTTCTCCTTTTTTTTTAAATTAGTCAGTAAGTTTTGTAAGTATTTAAAAAAAATTATTAAAAAAATTGACAGAGAAACATCTTTTGTATAATTGCATACAAAATATTTGTTTGTGTGATTTTTATTTTTCCGGTGTAAATTATTTTCTTATTAATTAGTGTGAAAATAATAGGAAAATAACTTTTCTTAGTTCAATTAATGTGGGTGTAAATCTCTTGTATAATTGCATACAAAAATATTTGTTTTTTTGTAATATTTTTTCCTTTAAAAACTGTGATGTGCAAACAACTTTTGTTAATGCAAAAGCATCAAAATCTTTCATATTCTGTTTTTTATATAATTTTAATCTTTTTAACTTATAATAGTTAAACAGTCTTTAACGTGATTGTTCATCTATGTACGTATTCATGGTAATATATTAACGCGTGAATATTTTTTTTTCTCATTTCCTATGAAACTACCAAGACATGGCATTATTGATTACTAATTTAAGTATGATTACTATTTTTTTAACTCTCATTTACTATTTTTGTTCTTATAATCTTCTTACTCAAAAAAGCACCCTTAGTAATAACAGAGAAATTAAATACAATGAACCACATTTTCTTATAAATAGAGTAATAGAGAGATCAATTAAACTCTGCATTAACTCTCTTCTAAACATTCTCTAAAATATTTTTTTTCCGGTGAGTGTTTGTTTCGCCGGAGCCGGAGACGGAGAAAAACGCAGAGGTTGAAGATCGATCAGTCTTCGTGATTCTCCGGTATATCATTAGATCTTCGTTGTTTTAACTTAATCGCTTCTTCTTTCACTGATTTCGTTGGTAGTTCTGAGTTCATGCTTTCGATTTCTTCCAACTG